TTGTTCTGGTTGCGCACTTGAAGTAGGCGACCCCTCGCAGCTGATTGGTCCATTTCCATCCGTCTCACATTCTCCAAATTTCTCAAGCGCTTCACCACATCAATATCTTAACCGCTCTTGTCCGAGCTGCTGAAGGGGGGCACTATCGGCTCGATACTATTGCCTTTGGACCTGAAAGTGGACGCTTTGGATTGAGCCAGATCGACCTCGATTGGGTTGGGGCCTGCATCCCCCGGCACCCCCGTCGTCGTCGATCACTCCGGGACAAAAGGTCCGAGGGTCCAGCATCCTCGCCACGGTTTGGAGTTGGAAACGTGGGTGTGGGGTTGTTCTATGAACGATGAGGACTTGAGCGACGTGGGTCTGCTCGAGATCAATTGGAAGACGCTGGAACCGGGCTGGCTCGCCTGAATAAGGTATTCTAGGCTGAGATCCGGGACTTGGTGCAGAAGCTCGTTTGGATCGACGATGTCCAGCCGTTTTGGCTGCCCGTGATGATGTTGAGCACAGATCGAAGGTTGTTGTACCAGAATCGCTGGACACAGCGGCTGATGCCGAGGATCTGGCAAGACTGGAGGTAGGAGTCACCGTTCTCGCCACGCTAGCACTTGTCAACGAAGCTGCGTGAGCTACAGTCAGATCTGCACTTAGATCAATTCGATATTGTAGCAGCCATTTCAGCCAGTGTGAGCAGGGCAGCATGTCGCTGATGGTACGTGCGGTCACAACCTTGGATCAGTCGATCGTGGCGGCCCAAGACCTCCGTCAGTTGCTTCTACAACTCGACATATGAGCCCTTAGCAGCTTGCAGCTTGTCACCTGGGATAAGAAGGCGGGTAAATTAGAGATCCAAGAGATCGAAATCAAAGTGAAGGTACATACTCAGTCGGCCGATCAAAGGTTTCAGCTCCGTCTGTCGCCGAGCGGCGTTGCCCCATGTAGTGACCGCGTTGCCACGTTTGACCTTGATGGGTTTGACCCGACCCACCAGCCCCTTGTGCTCAGTAACAGCCATATCGTGTCGCCTCGGGCCAGATCACGCTCGACAGCCTGCTTGGTGGCGGAGATCTGGATCGCTTGGAGTTTCATTTGTCCGAGTGTCCTCGGATCTGGTCAGAATTAGCCTCGAGAGTTGTGATCGGGTAGAATTGAGTATGTGCTGCGGGCCGGAGAGCCACCATGTACAGAGCCATGCGCCGTTCCGCCACTGATGGAGTTCACATATTCGTTGGTCATGATCTTCTCTTGCGCTAAGAGCACGTCGGCTCGGATCCGCGCAGACTTTCCTCCGAAGCTTCGTTGGTGGTGTTAGTAGTTTCCATTTTCGCTTCATATCGTGGATCTGCGATTGAAGTTCTTTGATTTCAGATATGACAGCCTAGACTTGTTGAAAAAGTGGGTTTTGTTGTCTCGAAGTCGATTGCGCTGATCTGAGTCCTCTTCTTGACGCTGACCCTGATCTCGCAGCCCAGTGTCTGATCTGCAAACCGAAGGCGCAGATCGTGGTTCTTGGGATCTCCCAACCTTGGATCTCCATGGTTGGTCGTGGATCTGCAGACGGAGGGCCCCGATTTGGAAATCCTAAGTAGCAGGTCCGATAGATTGGCGCAGTTGTAGTTGGGTAACATCGCGCTCTTGGCGAGTGAGACCACGATCTGACGTCGCGATTTGTCCGTGGTCAACGTAATTACCTGTTTGGAGAAGCCTTGGATGAACGCTGGACGGTGACGAAGAGGGATTGGACGAAGACGATGCCGCGGGCGTTTTTCCACGCCCCCGACCCGTCCAATTAGACTGGGTGATAGCGTATGCTCTGGAGGAGACAATTAGGAAAGTGACGGCTTGGTGGGTGCGTGCAGTGATACCGTTGGACGGAGACAACTGAGCGCAGAAAGCGATGGGCAGCGGCGCTGAATCATATGGCGGATTAAGTTGTGGCAGCATTAGATCTGGCAGACATAAGATCCCACATTATCCAGCTATGATTGATGGTTCACGAGGATACACCTTCACGGCCCTGGGCCTGGACGACCAGGCTAGAACGAATGGGACGAGATATACTGAGATGAAGGTTAAGAAAACGCGATCAAACCATATGAAGGCCAAGAATCATGGATCGAGACACCATGGAGAGCGATTCCCCAGATCTTATACCCGACATGGTGGATGTAGGATCTGGAGTATGCAAGAGCGGAGCTCGCGGATTTTGGACGGCGAAAGATGGATCGACAGGATCCAAGTATGGCGAGTGCCTGCAACAGTTCGATAAATATGAAGCTTGCCTCGATATACACTTCCAGCAGTGATATCCAAGACCGTTAGGATTTTGAGTATGTGAATCACGATTTGGAGAGACCCACTATAATAGGGTGAGGACTACACTTCAGATCTTCTAGGATCCGGTACGAAGGACAGCTGCTCGATGAAGGTCAAGAAGAGCCTGTGCGTAGCTAGGATGAGAGATCTAGTGGTTTTAAAGGTAGACACAGTTGGTGTGTAGGGCCTAACATTAGATAGACTCGAATTTGCATTGTGTTACCCAAGTGCCTTTCTGGCTTCAAGATTCTGAACTACATCGGCTATTCAAGCCGGTGAAGGTTGGGAACAGCAGATCTAGCGTTGTTTAGAATCTGGATAGAATATTGGCCTGATCATACCACCTAGTGAACTTCACTTACAAGTGCAGATCAAGAAGGTCAACCAAATTTATGGCTTGGCCGTGAGTACCTATCGGCTATCAACCATCGCGATCCCGCTATAGGAAGCGGCTAGCGCAACGACAAGAAAACTCTAGGGAGCCCATGCACTAGGCTACTGTGGTGAAGCGCTTGAGAAATTTGGAGAATGTGAGACGGACGAAAATGGACCTGTCAGCTGAGAGGGGTCGCTGCGCAACCAGAACCATTATTCTGACTCGAACCATCATTCTGGAGGCACCGTAATTCTGGTCAAGACTGGATTGACAAGGTACAATCATTGGGATGCTTGATCGCCGATCTAGTCTGATATGGTGCAATCATTTCGATAACCCGGTTAGCAGCGGTAGTAGATCGACTGATTTGTACCCATTGATGGGTACCACAAGGGCCAGTTTTGAGCAATCATGGATGGGTAGAAGGT